CTTGCTTTGCACCGCATCCTCCCCTCTATTCCAAGGCCTTTCTCTTCCAACTCAGGGCTGAAAGGAGGGCTCAGATCTTAAAAAAAAAAAAAAAAGAAATTATAATGCTTGGGATAGGAGGAGGAATTCAAATAGTATAGAAAGATAGAAGTTGGGGAAAAAATAAAACTATAGCCTTTTTGTTAAGAGTTATTTATTTATTCATTTATTTATTTAAAAAATTTATGTATTTATTTATTTGAAAGGCAGAGTTACAGAGATGCAAAAGCAGAGAGAGCAAGAGAGAGAGAGAGGGGGGTCTTCCATTTGCTGATTCACTCTCCAGATGGCAGCAATGGCCAGAGCTGGGCCAATCCAAAGCCAGGAGCCAGAAGCTTCTTCCGGGTCTCCCATGTGGGCCATCTTCTACTGCTTTCCCAGGCCACAGCAGAGAGTAGGATTGGAAGCGGAGCAACCGGGACTTGAACCAGCACCCAAATGCCAGCTCTGCAGGCGATGGCTTTACCCGCTACGCCACAGTGCCAGCCCCAAGGGTTATTTATTTAAACAAACAAAAACAAAAAAAAGGCATTTATTTATTTGCAAGGCAGAGTTACAGAGAGAGAGGGAGAGACAGAGAGAATCCATTATCCCCTGTTCACTCCCCAGATGCCGAGATGGCCAGGCTGAGGCCAGGAGCCAGGAACCCTATCTGAATCTCCCACATAGGTGGCGGGGGCCCAAGCCCTTGACCATCTCCACTGCCATCCCAGGCCATTAACCGGGAGCTGGACTGGAAATGGACCAGCCAAGATACGAACCGGTGCTCATTCGAGATGCCTGGGTCACAGACAGCGCCACAAGGCTGGCCCCGAAACCAATCTTTTAATCTCTTTGGTGTCCTGAGTCTCATGACCAGTACAGGATTTATTGTGTCGACAGTGATGAGGAGCCAGGCAATGAAAGGGATTTGGAAAGGGAAGCAGCAGGGTCAGTGGTGAGTCAGAAACCTCTTCAAGGATGAGTGCCTGCATTTGGGAGGGAACAGCACAGAGCAGGAGGGATGGAGGAGAGTGGAAAAGATTGAGGCAAGCTCTCCATTTCGTCCAAGCTGCTGCCCTGTCACCCACAAACTCAGTATGAAATGGTGTTAATTTCTCCTTTAAAGCAGAAAAAAGGCAAAGTTCAGCAAACCCACCCTTGAAAAAAGATCACATGGAGAGGCCGGTGCTGTGGCATAGTGGGTAAAGCCGCCGCCTGGAACACCTGCATCCCATGTGACCGCCAGTTCGAGTCCCAGCTGCTCCACTTCCATTCCAGCTCCCTCCTAATGGCCTGGGAAAGCAGTGGAAGATGGCCCAAATGCTCGGGCCCCTGCACCCATGTGGGAAACCAGGATGAAACTCCTGGCTCCTGGCCTTTGTGGGCCTTTGGGGAGTGAACCAGTAGATGGAAGATCTCTCCTTCTCTCTGTAACTCTTGACTTTTAAATAAATTAATTAATTTTTAATTAAAATCACATGGAAAGGTGTGGGGAGCAGCTCGGACTAGACTAAGTTACTGGAATTAAGACTTATTCTATGCATCTGCTCTCCCACAATATGGCGCTGGGAGAGGAGAAAACAGCTTCTACCCAGCTGCCTCCAGTTCAACCAATAAACAGCAGGACCTGCTCCTGATTGGAGGAGAGCAGCGTACTCGGCGTGTGGGCAGCCGAGTTGGGATTGGCAGAGGAGGACTATAAAGGAGGAGAGAGACGGCATGCACCAGGAACATCTATGGGGAACATCTAAGGGAACCCGTGCAGCCCCCGAGAGAACCGGCCGGTGGTGTGCCGCTCCCCTGCGGAAGTGGGGAATGCGGCCAGGGGGAACTGCCCTTCCACGGAGGTGGAAGGGATAGTAGCCAACCCGGGAAGAACCAGCAGCAAACCCGGGGAGGGCCGAGCAGACGAAAGAACAGCGCAGGGTCCTGTGTCGTTCCTCCATGAAGAGGGGGAGCGACATAATGGTGCCGTGACTCGGATAGGAAACCTAGCTCGGATAGGAAACCTAGGACGGATAGCAAACTTAGGAGGGAAGAAACGGGAAGAAACGGGAAGAATTGGGAAAATATCGGAGAGAGAGACTAGCAAACAGCCTAGGGAAAAGCCGGACGAAAGAGGTGCCGGAGGAAGCTGTTGAAAGCCTAGGCATAGACTCGGATACGGACTACGGGGGGAAGCTGGGAGAAATCTTTAAGGTCGAAAGCGAAAGTGAAAGCTAGAACAAACAGACTCGGACGCGGACTGTGGGGAGAGGCCAGGAGAAATGAGGGAGGAATATCGTTGGAGGAAAGCTTGGGGAAACATACCGGGTAGAGAAAAATGTTAGGGAAATTGAAGCCGCGGGGGGCAGGCCAAGGCGGAGACGAAAGCCACTTTGGGGTTCTCAAGTTAGCCCGGGAATAGGGGGCGAAAAGTTGAAACCAGAAGCTGAGACGTAAGCCAGATTGGGATCCGTCTGATTAGCCCGGGGAGCAAAGGACGGGAAGCCAAATCGTGGGGCGGAGACGTACGCTGGGTTGAATTCGCCAGGCTAGCCCGGGGAACTTAGATTGAATCCTAGTGGCGGAGACGCAAGCTACGCTGTGTTACTCGCGGAAGCCGCCGCGTGCAGAGAGAGCACGGGGCGTGAATAGATAGGGAACGCTGGCGTAGGCCGTGGTTCAGACGCGAAAGGGTTAAGCGTGGAGACCGCGGAGCGCGCAAAGCCGAGCCGCGCAAAGCCGGGAAGCTGCGCAGATGAGAGAGGCGCGCGGGCTGAAGCGGCGCAGAGCCGGGAACCCGCCGGCGGGGCGAGGTGCCGGGAAGCTGCGGGGATAAGAGAAACAGAAGTTTGGAAGTGAAGTAAAAGAGAAATGGGAATGCTGGAAGATAGAAGTGAAATGGGAGAGGTAGGAATGCCCGGAGATAGAGAAATAGAGAAAAATAAGGCCTCCCCTCAACATGCCAATTAGAAGGCTTGGATTCGGTCTGCCCGATTAGTGAGGCGATGAGCACCTGGGCGGCTAGCCGCAGGTCACCGAAGACAGGCACGAATTAACATCAGTAAGGCTTCCCCACAATACAACAATATTAAGCTTGGATTCGGTCTGCCTGATTTAAGGCGGTAAGCGCCAGCAAAGCTCGACCAGAGTATGAGCTGCAGGTCACCGAAGATAGGCACGAACCAACACTAATAAGTCTCCCCCACAATAAGGCAATGAGAAGGCTTGGATTCGGTTTGCCTGATAGAGCTTGTAAGCCCCTGCAGGCAGAGCAAAGCATGCGCTACAGGGCACCGAACACAGGCACGCATCAGCGCCTAAAAACCTCCTCACAACATGGCGAAGAGAGGACCCGGATTCGGTTTGCCTCATTGATAGGACTTGTAAGAACCTGTGGCAACTCTAGCAAGTAGAGCAGAGTGTGTGCTGCGGGACACCGAAGACAGGCGCGTATCAACGCCAAAAAATAAAAAGAAAGGGGGATCTGTGGGGAGCAGCTCGGACTAGACTAAGTTACTGGAATTAAGACTTATTCTATGCATCTGCTCTCCCACAATATGGCGCTGGGAGAGGAGAAAACAGCTTCTACCCAGCTGCCTCCAGTTCAACCAATAAACAGCAGGACCTGCTCCTGATTGGAGGAGAGCAGCGTACTCGGCGTGTGGGCAGCCGAGTTGGGATTGGCAGAGGAGGACTATAAAGGAGGAGAGAGACGGCATGCACCAGGAACATCTATGGGGAACATCTAAGGGAACCCGTGCAGCCCCCGAGAGAACCGGCCGGTGGTGTGCCGCTCCCCTGCGGAAGTGGGGAATGCGGCCAGGGGGAACTGCCCTTCCACGGAGGTGGAAGGGATAGTAGCCAACCCGGGAAGAACCAGCAGCAAACCCGGGGAGGGCCGAGCAGACGAAAGAACAGCGCAGGGTCCTGTGTCGTTCCTCCATGAAGAGGGGGAGCGACAGAAAGGATGTGATGCTTTGCTATAATTTTGGAAATCACCTCTTTCCTTAAATGTGAAAAACATGATCAATATGTAGCATAGCACAAATATTTTTGCATGCAAAATCTCTTCTAGATCTCCTTCTCAGATTAAGCTGAGGTCTGTCCAACAGCACCAGGGCCAAAGAAGGACCATAGCATAGGCTGATATGGGGGTGAAGGAGTTTGCCGGTTGGAAGAATCAGACCAGGATGCTTTTTTTTTCCATCCCTTACAAATGAGAAGAGGCGGGTTGGGCGTTTGATGCTTGAGGACACCCACCCACATCCCACATTGCAGGGCCTGGCTTGAGTCCTGGCTCCTCTGCTTCCAGTCCAGCTTCCTGGGAGACAGATGATGGCTCAAGTACTAGGGTCTGTGCTACCCATAGAGAGAGCCAGGTGGAGTTCCCAGCTCCTGGTTTCAACTGATTCAGCCCTGGCTGTTGCAGGCCATTTGGGGGAATGAACCAACAGATGTAAGATAGCTCCCTTTCTCTGCCTTTCAAATAAAATGGAAATGAATAAGTAACTGAATAATTTTTAGAAGTCCTATCCGTGAATTGATGTTGTAAAGAAAAGAGTGGGTTGAGCTGCAGGGAAGCCAGGCAGGCCTCTTCCACCGACTCCATCTTCTTTGCCGACATCAGGGTCAGTGCCGTCTGAGTCCACCTCCTCGGCTCACTGTGCTTGTAGACAGTGGGGACTTTCCATACCTGTGACTTGTTAGAGGACATGGCCACACCCCTTTTGCTTCAGAATTATGTGTAACAGATTAGACCAGATGGATCGTGAGGCACTGTGAAATACAAGACACACCTCACCCTCTCAGAATGTACTGTCTATTCTGATTAAATTATAGTGTGAGCAACATGCCATATGCGTGTACTTAAAAAAAATAAGGGACCCCAGGGGAGGGGGCTCTCTGTGCAAGGGGTAGTAATATTTTTACTAGACAGACTCAAAGTGGATTTTGCCCTTTCATTAATTTCTTTCTCTGTTCCTCTCTCCTGCCAGATAATTTTCAGGATCAGATGAAAAGGGAACTAGCCTACCGAGAAGAAATGGTGCAACAATTACAGATTGTAAGATGCATTTCTACTTAAACATGCATGCTACTTGATGCATGCATGCTGCTTCAACATGCATGCTACTTGATTGTTCTGGTTTCCAGTCCCCCAGGATGTGTGAGGCCTTTGATGCTTTTGCCATGAAATCCGCTGGTCCACTTACCTCTCAGCTGGTTTCGATGCTAATTACCCAGAGATTTACTTAGACAACAGATAAACAGATGTGTCAGCATGTTTCCTCTAAATGTAACTACCTACCATGTGTTAATAGACAGCTGTGTATATTGTCTCTGTGGGCGAACCAGCAGTACCTGCATCTTCCTCCGCCGTATAAACTTCAGGCATGGTGCGGGAAGGGGCTAGGAGCTCAGGGAGGGGCCGTTGTCTTCCATCCTCCCTGCTTTCAGTACCCAGGCCTGAGCCAGGCCTTCCACTCTCAGTAGAACTTAGTGGACACACAGTGGACCAATCAACATTCACTTGAAGGGTGATGCAAAGAAAGAATTTCTAAATGAAGTGTGCTACTCACTCCTGATCGTTCCTAAAGTTGAACACTGATCTAGTGAATACGGATTCGTGTGGGGTTTTTGTTTGTTTTCTCAGTGTGATTATTATCATTTGGGTCGCTTGACGTTTCTGAGCTGGTCTGCGTTATCCTTAGACCGTGAAGCGTGTTGTCCCCGCGTGTCTTGTCTAGGCATCCAGCTCGCTAGTTCCGTCTGGATTATTCACGAAGCATGGTTGTTAACGCTTCCCTTCTGCATCCAGACTCAAGCCTGCGTTAATGGCGATTCCGCAGCGTCGCTTTAGAGCGCTCTTGTGTTTTGTATTTTTCCCCCATTCCAGGCTCTGTCCAAAGTGCTGCTTCTCACACTCCCACAGGTTTCCCTTTGTCTCAAGTGCTTGTGAACAGCTCTGTTTTGAAAAACACTACATCAGACACAGCTTAAACAGGATCTCTTCTCTTGCGTTGGTTCTGTTTGTGTGTGAGTTTTGTTTGCGACTTAATTCACTGGGGAGCAGAGCAGAGGATTTTCTTAATTGGTTGGTAATAAATCCCCTAGAGAGGTTAAAAAGTCATGTCTCTGCTACGGGTGGCTTTTGATTCCTAGATAATAAGAGCAATAATTATTTACTGTGGATAAACTTACTGTTTTCCTTGCCCAAAGGAAGAAACTTAAATGTAAGCCTGAAGGTAGAGTCAGAGTTTTAATACTGTTCTTACTTTATACAGGGCATCCTTTTCAGGTTCCTAAAACAAAAGTTGCCACAGATGCAACATAAAAAATTGTGGTTTTAGGGTGGTGGTAATTATAACAAAATGGGCTCCGGGAAAGTAATATGAGTGTTTACTTCAGCACCTCAGAGCCAGTGAAGTACTCTTCATGTCTTCATTTTGTTTGGCAGTTGGCTTTCTTGGTAAAGGAAGAAATAATACTACATCTATGTAACCAGCGGATAGTAGAAGAAAAAAAAGTCTTATATCTTTTGAGATATGTAGCACGCAGAGGATACAAATTAGGATTACTAAGCATTTTTATTATACCATATTGCAAAATAACCTCTAATCAAGTATTCATCTGGCAAGACAGGTATTACTAATTCACATTCCTCTGCATAGTGAAATCATCCCGATAGCAAATCAGATAGCTTGAGAGAAGCTAGAATTGTTCCTTCAGCCCCGTAGGTACAATATAACTCCTGAAATCTGCAAAAACTACATCCAAACTAACATAAAATTTGTCGAAAAAGATAATTTCCCCCTCCTGCTCCTCTTGCTCATGTGTCCTCCCCCATAATGCCCAGGGTTCTCATGTTCCCGCTGGTGCCAAGCGCCGTGTGCAGCATCAATAGCTGTTGGTAAATATTTGTTGAATGAATCGCCATTTGTGAATGGCCCCTAACTCAGCACTGACACTGTCATAGAGCCATACTCTTCATTCTTTTCCAAATTTCCTGAGGAGCCTGATTTCCTCAAATGTTCTTTTACTTATGTCTTACTATGCTGTCTCCAGTCGACATGAGCTAGTAGACACAATTTTTTTTTTTTACAAATGGATAAACAATGTTGTTTTTTACATTTAAAGGCTGATGAAAAACCACTACTAATCCTATTAAAGAAAATCCAACGTTTCAATTGAAAACTATAACATTAAATACTACATAGGTTTTACCAAACACAACTTGAAAATATCAAGCATACTTGTTCAATTTGAGTACAATGGATTCAAGACCAAGTATACATGTTACAAGCATCAAGGTTGGATTACAAATTATCATAGTTATCACCATCATCGTCATCATCTTCACGTTTGCTTTTCAATGCATTTGATGCATTGGCAGTATCTTGTGATGACGTCATATTAGTGGCAATGAGAATGTTTTTGAGCCTGATTAATCAGAACATTCTGAACTGCTGGTGTTGTAGAAATGATGCTTTCCCAGCAGGTGGCTGTGAAGCAGGCATCTGTACTGTGAACCTTTGTCCTGTGAGGGTCACTGGAGTAGCTAGCTACCTTAGTTGAAACAGACATGGTTTGTGGAGTTGGTGTGCCCAGCATGAAGTACTAGGTCTACTAGTAACTGACAAGACACTTAACCATGGAAATGTTATTCTTCCTGCAGAAGTAGACACCTTTTATTTGTAAAGACTTAAGCCTATAGTTTGGAGCTGTTAAGCAGTACCTATGAAGTGGCAGTATGTATCTAGGATCTGCATAGGGTTTGATCAGTGGCAATGGGGTTTGATTTCTTTGCCTTGCAATATTTAACAAAAAATATCTCTTGGGAGAGAAGAGGGCAAAAGCTGATCAGCACAATACTGGATTGCCAATTGCGTGGCATTTGTGTCAACAGTAGCCTTCTTAGCTTGGCTCGAATAAACTTTTGCATCGTCTAGAATTGTGGTCACGTATCGGAAGGCAAACTCCAACATCTCATTTCCGATTCTTGATTCATATTCTGTAACCCCCATACCCCTCAGATCTGTGCCACCATCTGTGCATCTTTCGGCATGCTCTTAGGGATGCCATCTTGCCAGACCCCATGATACGTGGCGATCAAACTTCTTGAGCTAAATCACCCGCATTAACGTATTTCAGTCCTGATCTTGATGCAAGTTTTTTGCCTACTGTGGTTTTCCCAAGCCCTGGTGTACTCTAGATTTTTCTTCTTTTTACAGCATTAATCAGGACACTGATCCATGCAAATTAGATACTGTTAAATCTTCTTCCTAAGGAATCTCCCAGCTAAGCACTCATTAGTTGAGGGGCTGATCTGCAGCACCAGTGATCAGAATGTTCACCCGCAACCTAGTCCCCCTGGGAGGCTCGGAGCTCCAGCTAAACACAAGTTTTAACATCTGTGGACTTGGGCTCAAGTCACACCCCATGTACTTCATGAAGTCCTCACCCAAGAAGGACTGCTCTAAGGTTCAACCTAGTGCCCTGATAGGCATATTAAAAGATGAAAGTGAGAAGTAAATATGAAATAACATATGCCAGCCATCAAATGCTATGCGGCTGTGAGTATGAGTCATCAATTTCATGGCAAGGCCTTCTCAAAGGAGCGCCTGTGATAGCGGAACTATTTAAGCCTGGCGACTGGAGCTATTCTTGTGCAGGAGGCCCTGTGTTTGCATTGCACCATCTGCTTTAGAATGGAGGCAGCAGACACAGTGCTGCTTGAATAGAAGTTTATCTTGCCCCTTATTCAGCTTGATGGATTTGCTAAAGCACCTGAGGGGAAGCGTCTTCAGAACATTCTATCTACAGATTATCAAGAAGTTGCAAAGTAGCTCGGTTATTGGCACTCTCAATATCTTAGTTAAATGATCTCATTCATCAGGAAATACGGCTGTACTCTTTGTTTCCTGAGAGCAGAACAATTCACTCAGATTTGTTTTAATACTTAAAGTTTACAGATCATATATTACAGAATAGGCACTTTTTTTTCCTTAAGATGAAATAAGCACTCACCCTGTCTTGCAATCACGGGGAATGTAAGCATATTAAAACCATCATGTTATGTAATGGTTCCCACAGACCCACAATGCATTTATCCTATGTTGTTACACGGTGCTCCTACTCAAAAGACTTCTATTGAAAGCATCTTGGGTATCATTGCTGCAGAAAGAAAACTTATGAATTTTTGGTTCCTGCTATTTTGAATTCTCTGCTGGCTATAATTTTTGCACCATTGCTTCTTTTTCTAGATTGTTAAATGCAAAGTTGTGAAGACTTCAGAGTCAAATGATTGCTTCTCTCTGTGCATTTAATAAATGAATGTGCATTTATCATAATGTGAGTTTTAAAGCTTATGCCAAACTAGTTTATTTAACATTTATGCATGGCCACAACTAACTTTTTTTAAGTTTAAGTAGCTGAAAATTTGAACTTTGTAGCACTTAACACAGTTTGTGTTAAAGTGCCCGACCCCCGCCCTGGATTTTCAGTGGCTTAAAGCACTTTCATTACTAAGCCAGACCAAATGCAGAAGTTTGAGAGTTTAGCAACGTCTTGAAAATGTAAATGTTGTATAGTAGAGGATTTCACAATCACAAGTGAATTATTTAAGGAGAAATTTGTTCAGTGTCAAAACAAAATCCATCAGGTCTTAAAAATTAAGCAGCAACTGAAGATGTGTTACCCAGTGAATAGCTTTTTGATTAAAATAATAAAGAAACTAATTTATAACATGAGTTGAGGCTATTTTGATGACTTGATTGCCTTTTTTTTTTCAGTTAACTTAGCAATGATTTTTTTAAGCAGGTGCATCTGTGTATGAGCTACAATGGTAGTTTGTTGAAGACATTCCTTTTGAAAGTCATAGTTCTTGAAGGCCATTGTGAAGCTGCGACACAAAGCATGTGTTGAATGCTTAGACCCAGATTCACTTCCCTTGAACTTGCCAGATCAATCCCAGCAGGTGCAGGTTGGGGAAAATGAGCTGGTCTTGAAGTGCCCTCTGCTGTTGTTCCAGAAACTTGCAGTCACATGCTGTTGAGAAAGGCTCGTAAAGCCTTCGTTAAAATGATGTTCATCAGTAGATTTAGTACTAATGTTTTGTTCGCGATGGACTTGTAAAAAAAGCAGCATTCAGCCTCCTGATGGCGGGAGCGTGATGCTTCTTCGCAGGGAGCGGAGTCCCACCACCGTTGGAGGAGCACAGCTCTTCAGTGTTATGTCTTTTCTCGAAGCTTCTCTAGTGTTCTCTAAAGTGGGAACTTACCTGGATTTCTACTGTCATAACCCAGAAAATTTTAAAAAATATATTAGACATTTAAAAGAAAAAAAATAGCTAGAATGGTTGCTCCATTGCACTGTAGTTTTAGGAAAACATGCCTGGGCCTTTGGTTTCCAGGCTAAATATGCATCAAAAAAGAGCTCCCTGCGAGTCAGGGACGTGACAGGAATCTGAGCTTCCCTGGAAGCTGCCTTCAGGTTGTCCATCACTGGACAGGCGGACTTGGGCTCCCGTGTGCCCTTTCCCAGGTACTGATCTGCTGCCACGCGTCTGGGCGGTGCCATCAGTGTTCCTTCGTCTTGGCACCTTCTTCTTATCGGTGTTCTCCCTTCGAGAGGTTGATTCACCTAAATGTCTGACCTCAGGCTAGCTCCCTCTTGGCACAAACTAGGAAGTCATGTTTTTCAGTCAAGCTCCAATAGTTGATCTACGAAAGCCAACTATGATATAAATGTTTCAAGAAACTCTGAGGTGTTTTTGTTTTGTTTTGTTTTGTTTTGTTTGTTTTTGTTTTTGTTTTTGTTTGCCTATGCCAGCCTTGGCAGTTTCCAAGCTGACCAGTAAGTTCTCTTACAGGAGATTCACACGGGTAACTAGAATCCCAGACTCCCAAGCTGTGACGTCCTGGCTGAGCTGTCTGGAAGCCAACACTGCATTTTGTGGAATGTGACTTTTGTGAATCCCCATCAATCCTGAGAGTCCCCATGACTTGATGAATCACAAGAAAAAAGCTTCCACCTAAAAGACTGAAATACCATCCGTTAGAATACATCCAATTACGGAGTTGTTAAAACGTGAAGGGAAAAAGTGTATCTTGGAATCCATGAACTAGCGTAGCCTTTGTGAATAGCTGGACAATGTGCTCACATAATCCTTGTTATCACTCATGATTTAGGCCCTGGAAATTAAAACACATCATTCTCAGCTCCCAACATCCTCCTCCTCCTCCTCCTCCTCTTTCTCCTTCTTCTTTTCTGTCTTTCTTTGGCTTTTATTCCACTTTGTTTTAAGGAAATAAACACCAAAATCAAGATTGAGTAGAGGATAATCCTTTGCATCCATTTTAATTCCCTTCTGGAGCTTTGGGGACAAGTGTTCTTATTTAGAAATGTTACCGTGAGTCCTTTTTCTTTTCTTTTTCAGCTTCCTACCTTAATGAAATGCTACATTGTAGTTTCTGAAAAAGAGAGAGAAAAGAGCATTTTGACTTTGCTCTGAGAGAAGTGGCCTTCAGGCAGTTTTCTTTGGCTAGGATGAGTGGTTCACTGGCTTTGAGGAGGCGGCCCCTGGTGATGTTAACTTGCCACTTGTAGTGCTTGGCACAGAATGAGCTTTTTCTAAACCTTTGTGGCATCTTAACTTACTGTTGAGGACCTTCCTAAATGTGACAGATGCACACACACATTTTATTGGTAACTCTTTATGTCCCAAAGTTGGTGTCATTTCTTATTATCCTAAATAATTGAATTCCACTCAAGGCTCTGTTACATTATGCACCTAAAGAGAGTTCTATCAGTCTACACCATAATGGAAAAACCAAGATTCAAGGGTGTCTCTGTAATAGCAGGTGTAGCATAACCTACAGTGAAAAGGAGAGGTAACTAGAGTAGGTTCCTGTGTAACTGTCCTTGTCATAGTTATCTGGCTGATCTCAGCCCATGGTCTAAAATACAAGATTAAGACAGTGAACTTTTTATGTTACTATATGAATCATTAATTTCAATGCTACTGTTTATGCCCTTTGCCTATCAGAATGGTTTATGCTGTGGTTCTATATCAGAAGAGGGAAATGGATATTTTAATCTCCTTTTTTTTCCTCATTAAAAAGACTGTTTGATTCAGCAGTAAAATGGCCCAGCTCCTCTTAGTCACTGGCATCACTGGAGAGTCATAGTTCCTTCCCATTGGGAAAGGTTCATATGTGTGCACTGGAGAATTAAGAGTGTGAAACACATAGTATGCGGAGAAAGCAAGGAAAGTAACAGAATTCAAGAACATTGCTGGTCGAATGAGAATAACTTTATTTCCCTCTCTGCTTAAAGCCATGTTTCATTTCACATTCCAGATGACTATATATTTACTTCTTTAAATTTAAAACAGATTCAAGTCTTTAGAGTCCTGAGTTTAGCCTTGCAGTGATGAAGGTAGGATCCAATATTTTCCTGGATTAGTGGAGAGGCAAATCTAAGCAATTCATAGTCCAGTGTCAATCATTTGAATTTTCTAATTAAAAGTAGAATATCAGATATTATAGACTTCCATTCAAAACTCCAGCATTCAAAAGTACTTTTCAAATTTATCCAGGTAGAATTCTCCAGGATCATATTTGCCATTCAGTGCAGTTATTTCTGATGGCTCTCATTAATTCTTGTAATAGTATAATAGTTTATGTTGAATTAGTCTCACTTGTGATTTATGATAGCATATTTTTATAAAAAATCACTCTAAAAAACTGAAATATTATGTTGAATTTATCGCTAATCACATTCTTGTTCTTTGACCTTGTACATACTTTCTCATCAAAACTCAGTTTTTGTACCTAAATAAAAAACAATACTATATTATTAAATGCAAACTTTCTTCACTCTTTTAAGTGAAATACTGCCTTGGGGTTAACGCGGTCACCTGTTCTGTCATCAGGGTGACAGCCCGCAGGCCGTGGGAATGTACGGGCCAGGGGCCACCCAAGAAACCTCTGCCCCTCAGTGAGGTGCTCTTGGCTTTCAGAGCGTCAGGCATGACGACCTGAATGGGTTTAGCTGACCGGGCTGGTTTTTGTGTGCTTTTATCTTACAGATACCCTATGCAGCAAGCTTGATCAGGAAAGAGAAGCTTGGTGCCCATCTCAGCAAAAGCTAAAAGGTGAGCCTGCCGAAGGAAAGAGATTTCCTAGATCTCTGTGTGGTGACTGCTTGGCCGTGTTCTTTGTGGCTGCATTTGCCCAAGGGACAGGTAAAGCTGCATCCTGTGTTTAAGTCAGTACACCAGTGAGCTTTGTTGTGTCTGAGGATGGGACTTCCTAAATGAATGGCTAAGTGCTTCTTAAAAATTTCCAGAAAAGTTCCTAAAGCTAAGGATACTCTCTGTTCTGTCTGCTAAAGGGGTCTTCATTCTGTTTGGAGGTTTTCTGCTCTTAGGCGTGTATCTGAACCTTAATTACTCCCCCCTGGAAATGGGCAGGAGTGTCAGTAGTTAGCCAGTGGTGTCTCATTTTTCTGTCTCTCCTTTGCTTCCCAAAAGTCTTCCTGAACGCTGACTTTCAGTAAGTTACTGCAGATGGTGAGATGAACAAGTGGGTACAGCACAAACTCTGAGACCTTCGGCCCTAGGAAGAGTAATTCATTCTTTCCCTAAACCAAAAACAGTTCTTCTATAGACAAAGCCAAGTTCAAGACCACGATCCTGGAACCATTTAAAAGATAAGTGCTGGACTCTTCAGAAAAAGCAGGCAGTGAAAATTCAAGGAATAGATTCTGTAGATGCCTAAACATTTCAAAATCAACGTAAGATGACATGGGTAATTACTAAAATTATGGGAATGCAAAAACTGGGACACTTTTGTCTCTTTAACAGTGTGCTGTGATGACTAAGGGTTGGAATTGCTGAAGCAATAGTTTGACCCACTTCCATCAGAGTGGTTCTTCCCATTCCTTCCCTCTGGAACACATGTGTTTCCAACTCAGCAGAATTAAGTGGCAAAAGAATTCCCCATAACACAAGTTCACTGTTCCTTTTCTATCCTCCAAGCCTCCCCTCTGCCTGCCACAAGTCTCTCCTCCCATGGCAGTCCTGCTGCTGGCTATCGTCTTTATCAGTGGTAATCGTCCATAGTCACTTTACTCAAAAGCTTTTCCAAAACAGTCCCCTGTTTATGTGCTGGTCCTTAATTTTGGACCTGTGGGACTGAGGCTTGGAGAAGAGAGACAAGGCATTTTGTGTCCGTGTAGCAAAGTCAAGAAGAGACTACAGAGCTCCTGACTTTAAACCTGGTGCCCACTGCTCCTGCACCAGGACCTCTGGTCCTCAGTGAGCAGAGAGGCTCAGCTCGTCATTCATGACATCACACGCCAGCGAGTCTGTGAGGCTGGCCCTGCTCTCTATAGCAACGTGTTTTTATTAAGTCAGAACTTGACCTTGAGTAATTGTTTTCTCATTGTAGTAGGCCAGCAGTATAAAATGAAAATTTTAGAACATTCAGGTTCCGGTACATCTTAACTCAGCATATCAAGATGATCGAGGCAAGAATTATCCAAATTAATTGATAAAATTAATATAAAATATTTATATTGAAATATTAATATGAAAATATTAGCATTTTAAAAATATTTATTAATTTGTAAGGCAGAGTTACAGAGAGAGGGAGAGACAGAGAGAACGATATCTTCCATCCTCTGGTTCACTCCCCAGATAACCACAATGGCGAGTGTCAGGAGCCAGGAGCTTCTTTCTGGTCTCCCACATGGGTGCAGGGGCCCAAGTGCTTAGACCATCTTCCATTGCTTTTCCCAAGTCAAGAGCAGGGAGCTGCATCAGAAGTGAAGCTGCCAGGACTTGAAACAGCGCCCATATGGGCTGCCAGCACTGCAGGAGGCAGCTTTACTGCTACTCCGCAGCACCAGCCCCATCATATGTTTTTTAAAATAAACTTTTTACTGAAAATTCAGCAAAGTGTACAAGTTACAAAGTCATACAAATCGTGATGTTTGTGGATCCGAATTCAGTGAATTTTCATGAGATGAATCTGAATGACAACCTTGTGCCCCTGTCCAGTTTCTCCCTCCCCTACTTCCAACACGGGTTAATTTTGCCTGTTCCTGAACTTTATGCAAATGATGTTATATAGATTGTTCTCTTGGGTCTGACTTCTTTTACTCAGCATTTAGAAGGTTCAGCCATTATTAGAATGTGGTTTGGTTTAACTCGGGAACCTCAACACAGCCTCTTTTTACCCCGTCAACTTCTCCAGCTCATGTTTCCTGCTTGCTAGAGGCATGCCCATCTTGCACCTGCAAAATGAAGACTCGCTGCTCAGAAACCATGCCCCTGCAAGTGACAGAGCACTCGGCTAGGTGGAACAAAAGAGATTGATTTGTGTTAAGTAACTAATGCTTCCTCCATGCTGATTCTGTTACCATCCCAGCAGACAACAGGGATTTCTCTAAGTAGACCCTGGTGCTTTCAGAAGATTAGTGGTTACTTAAATGCTTAGCTAAATCAGCCAAGCAGAGAATCACGACCATATTGTTAGAAGCAGCCTCTCGTTCTCAATATGCCAAGCCTATGAGGAGTTACCCCAAGAGAGATTACAAAACAAAAATCATTACACCGAGGGAGAGAGACAGATTCTGTCTTGCTGAGTGACCACAGGTTTCCAAATTAGGGCCTGATGCATTAACGTCTTACGCAAGAATGACCCTTAAGGTAGTATGCTGTGTTCTTGCCACCCGGTGGATTCCAATGTGACTATTAAGAGGAGGAAGCTTTTCAAAACCACAGGCAATCCACTTAATAAGCTGAGCAAGGACTGCCACATACCACTGCTCTGCAAATCTTTCTTGCCCTGTATTAAAACATAAGAAATTCCATGTTGAATCAAAATAAAGGTCTACCTAGGCCAAGACACTAACTGTGACATTCCATTAGGAGAGCCAATTTGCTGCTCTTAACAGTATCAACCTCAAAACCTAGGCGTATACATTGAATACTCTTAACTTTCCCTTGATAATTCCTTAAAGATCCATTACCCGTGGATTTATCTAAGCCTTTCTTCAACACAGTATAATCCCCTTTGGGGCAATGAATACTATTTGTTTAGCTACCAGCTGTGTAAAGCACAGTTGGTTTCATCTTCAAACTATCTCCTTAAAAAAAAAAATGTCCTATTAGGTGAGACGTTGTGTTGCTCTGCTGAGTTGTTTTGAGAGCTTGTGATTCCAATGGAAAGGATTTGAAAAACATTTCAAAATGTTGCATGTAGTGTCCCTTCACCTGGGCCCATAAACACCAGAATTGTTTTGGATGCTCTTCCTTCCCATTTCCTACTTGGACACCCCAATGTAATCTGTGTGAAATCTGGACCCCAAATAAATATGACTTGACGTAAATAAACACTAATATAATTTTTACTTTACACTCATTTCTTCCAAGCACCTTGAAGCATGTTGCAAATATCATCCGCGTAACTGATTGAAGCATCCATGTCTTTCATAGAGAGGGTTAACGGGAATCACAGGAAATGGCTCACTCATAGCAGACCACCGAATCGTTGACCAAGCCGGAAATGATCATGACTGTCATTTATTGAGTGCCAGCTATGTCAGATACGGAGCTTAATCCTTGGCTGTATTATCCTTACAGTTTACAGCTCTGTAAGAAGATCCTTACAGCTGTGTGAGGGAGAGCCTGGTGCTATCCCCCTTTCCATACATGGGAGCGCCAAGGCTCAGCGAGGTCCCGTAGCTACAAGCAACAGAGCTAGGATTCCACCCAGGTCTACCTGACTGCAAAGCAACTTCCAGGCCTCTGGATCCCTGGACGAGGGATAAGGGAGATTGTGACACTATCTCTATATGTTTCCTGTGTAAATATTTAATCTCGTTGAATCTCATTCCTGTCTATCAGATGTGGGTGGCCAAACCCTGTCAAAGTCTTGACAGCTCTAGAATTCTGTCATTTTTATAGGCCAGTTTTCTTCCATATTCTCTCTCTTGCCCCCCAAGGAGGCTTTTTTTTTTTTTTTTAAAGCCATGTCAGGACCACTTGTAACACCCAAGTGATGACTCATCTGCATTTGCCATTTGTCTACATTTTCTTCATCACTAATTACTACTCTGCAACCTTCTTTAGGGCTTGAAAATAGAACCCCCAATCCCACCACGTTAACAATATCCAACTCTGGTGAACTCCCATTACTTTTTATTTTGCTTTGGAATCAGAGCTACAAAAGCAATAACAAGGGAGAAGTCTTAGAAGGAGGTGGGGATTGTAATTGAGCACTCTTGTCTTGCTTTTGCACTAACCAAAGATAAGGAGATGCTGTATCCACTTCCCTCCTCCTTAGCCAGACATAAAAGGACCAGATTCTTTGAAGAATCTCCATGAGAATGGCAGTGTGCCCCACTGTTCTCCATGTCGATTACAATTGTTTAGTAGTTGAAATCACCCACTGAGATAAGTACTGCTGCTTTAGTCAAGGAAGCTGAAGAGCAGAGACTTGAGTAAGTTGCCTGTGGCCTCACTGCAAGGGAGCAGGATTTGAGCCAGGTCAATTGGCTCTGCAGCTCATGTATTACCTGCCCTCCTCGGATTTGTAGCCTGAAATCATGGCCTAATTTACACCATCTAGTATCAGTTATAAATACATAGTTCATAATCAATTTGATGGTTTCATTGATTCTGAATCACAAAACCCCTGACACCCCAAGAAAAGAAACATTTTTAAAACTCGGGCCATGCAACCAAGGCTGTCTTAATGTCTGTCCAACAACAACAAGCCAGAACTTCTAGAACCCAACCAGATGACTTAGATGAGTTCATGGTAAAGAACTCTGATTCTAGTTCTAGTTTGACCCAATGTTACCCATACACATAAGCTAAATTGGCAGACAACCATTTAAAAAAGAAAATCCTTTCTTAGACACTTAAAATAGTTCAAATTTAAACCATATAAACTGTCTTCTCTTAAGGGTATACTAAAGATTGCTTTACATGTTTTAGGATGAACTGATTCTCATTCTGTGCTTTTGTCTTACCCCAGGTGCACAGAAACACTTACTCTGTTCTCTTGTAAGATACAGCCTGCCATGGAGCACTTCCGACCTGCATACGGACTGCACATTGAAAGGGCTTGGGAATCAAATACAAAATCAGGTTCGCGAGAACCCAAGGACAAGTGACCTCAGAGCAGCATGGACAACCATGTAAAATAGACTGTAGCAGCCATTCATTAGTGGGGGGAGGGGGGAGCCACCCAGAGCAGTCAATGCTTGTCGCATCTTTTGGTGGAACCAAAGTTGGAGTCTTTGTGTTTTTTAAAGGACAAGTGAACCCAGAGCGTGGGAAGTGCTGTCAGCCAACCGGGGTGGGAATCCATGGATGGTCCCAGGTGGTGTCAGTGCCACACACATGGAGAGAGCAGCTTCATCAGCTGTCTTTCACTCTTGAAGAAGCAATTCTTGGTAGAAAGAAAACACAAGATCTGGCCTGCGCGTGGGGATCGTGTATGGACAGCTGGTGAGGCATCCTGTACAAACCGGCTTTTCATAGCAAGCTAGACGTGGCCCCTTCCTCGCTGGTACTTTGCCTGCTGTATGAATGAAGATTGTATTCCTCTGGAAATATTTTACAGTTTAATATTGAGTATAATTAAGAATATAATCATGTTATCAAAAATGGTATTTAACGCTGTTGTAGTTTCTTTAACATTCATGTGGATAAAAAAGTCTATAATAAAAAAAAACTATGAAGTAAGAATTGTGTTCATGTAGTTATGTGTGCATTTGCTTGGAGGCAGCTAATGAAAACTATAGTTTTGGGGAATATTTGGGGGTAAAACATTTGAATAAGTTTTGTGAAAACAAAATTCCTTCCCCCAAGAAATGGTTATTAAAGACCAGATCAGCTTTGGGCCATTGTCAGCACCTGGAGATCTCCTCTTGTTAAGGTTGCTGTCTGGATAAAGGAGTGCTCTGAATCTCGCTAGATCTCCTGACAGCACTGGTGAAGAAGTAAACAGTGTGCTTTCTTCCTCACTCTGGTGATTTCAATCCAAGTCCATGAGATATTTTTGTGCCCAAAATTCTGGTTTCCCAATGAAAACAGATAGAAGGGCCACCGTGGGGAGCCATTCACAGGCAGATTCTAATGTACTGCTGGGGTGCATAGAGGCCCACACGGATGGCATCCCAACCTAAGGTTGCCAAAGACCATCCTAACTGAAGAGCCATCTCCCCATGGACACCTGCCAACAGATTTCAAAGGGATCTAAATTATATCACTATGGTATTTAATAATCCTCCCTAGCCAGATCCATTGTCACGAAATATTTTAAAAAAATCTTCATAACTTTACTTTTGAGATGGATAAAAGTTTTGATCGTGGTCACCACAGTAAGAAGCCAAAGGAGGGGCAGTCCTTCGTGATTTCTCTCCTTAGCTGGGGAAGGATGAGAAGCTTTGTCTGAGAAGGGACAGACACCAAGTCTGGAGTTGGCCGACTCCAGCAAGCACTGCACAAAACTGATAGGGAGATGCTACCACGAAGCGTGTTCTCCTTGAGCTGTTTTTCCAGGAGGGCTCTGGGTCTGGGCATGGGACTCACACAGGCTTTGGGACTTGGAGCCCATTTCTGATGCTGGCACCTGACTCGGGAGTCATCTGAGCAGTCAGGTTGGTTGGTGGAGCATTTTCCCTGATGAGAGCATTAAATTGCACATCAGGGTGGAAGCCCAGCATCCTTAGCTTTGACTTCAAGTCAAAGATAGCCAAGGTGAGGGAAAATGACCAGGGAGGTCACATACCTGGCTTCATGACCAGCCACAAAGAGCCTCAGAAGTCATTTTGTGTAGACTCAACTGCAAACCCTGGGACTCGACAGCCCAAGAACAGCAAGAACAGCAGCTGGGCCGGAGAGGTCAGAGGGAGATTTGTGGATGAATTTAAAATTTTGTCGTGCAGTTGCATCAATGGCAGTGTACACCAGCCCCAAATGTAATTCATTTCTTTCTAATTGTCTCTTTAAGTATCTCATCATTATGAGTGCTAAAATAGCAGCAAACAATTTTGAAGCAAAAGGGAAATTAGAGTCAAATAACTTGATAGGTATGTCTGCATAGCCCTGGAATTATTAACCAGGGTATAGCTCTGAATTAAGTCAAGGGTCAAGTTCAGTGCAGAAGTCATTGGCCTCTCCTCCTTCGAAGGTACCACTGAGCCTCTATTCCATGCAAGCACTGGAGTCTAACAATGAAGCCATAAACTCACATGCCCCAAACCAACAGTTGCAGAGGAACATAGGCAAGGAAACCCAATGCATCCTGTGGAAACGTGTCGTTTACCCCCTGGATGTTCTCATTAAGGACAGTGAACACCTCGTCCATCCTCTAGCAGTGTTTCAAGTTAGAACAAAAAAGAATTTCTCCCCAGACCTGGATAGGATCGAGTTCTCTGAGCTGCCCCGTGGAAACAGACAAGACATCCATCTCCAGCACCACATGAGGCCAAAAATAAAACCTGTCTTCGGAAGGATGCGTACGAATTCTTGGCTCCATCAAATGGCAGCAGAAAATCACTGTGCTCTTCTCTGGCTGTTTTTTTCATATCAAAATCCCAAGGTCAACCCAGATACAAGCTAGTGAAGAATACAGGCAATGCAAATAACACTCTCGATTTTGATTCCAACTTAAATTATAACCTCAGAAAGGACCATTGCAAATCAAGACAAAAAATCCTGGCCCAACCAATGAAGTGTTTCCTGTTGGTGCAAACCAGACATTTCAGACTGATGCTTTCCCTTCTCGGAATGCTTGAGTAATTGCTCATCTCTTGGCCACAGGCAAGGAGAGGGAGACATAGGCATCACATCCCAATTTCCTTAGACGGAGCCGTGAGTGTGGCTTCAGTGCTGTGGAAAATAGAGGGAGAAGTCTCTTCTGGCTACAGGGGATAGGATCAGACCTCTAAGATCTCTTTCATTTAAGAGTCAGAGTTGAGAGAGTCTTGGTCAGCAGCAAGGAAGGTCACCTTGTCAGCGTGGTGAGGATGTGTGACCCTGTCACTTAACTAGCCATTTGCAACAGCCTCCAGACCAGAGGCAGACTACAGTCCTCTGTAGAGGGCACAAACTGACCATCGCATGAGGCTCCCCCTAGGCACCCAAACCATGCTTGTAATTACAACTACTTTTGTAGGAGAGACGTGCTCTGGACACTCTGAGTGAAGGGGTGTTCACATCAACTCACTATCATCTCCCAGCAATTAACACAGTCTGTCGCATGGAGCAGCCGCACAAAACGTTTTTGCTAAGTGAGTGAAAGGACCGCATGTGTTTTCTTTGATTTCAAATGACCATATGGCAAAGTGCTGACTGCCATCCATTAGAATCCGCTTTGGGGTGGCAATACATCTAGACAGAAGACTACCTTTCCCAGGCTTATTTGGATTAGATGTGGCCATGGGACTGTGGATGCAGGTGCAAATGTGAAACTTCAAAGAAGGTTGCTTCAAAGGGTGTGACTTAGTTAAGAACTATTTCGTTTCCCCCTCTCATTCCCCTCTTGCCTGAGTCTGTATGGTAGATGGTACCCCACTAGCCACTTTAGGCCATCAGGCGATTTTGAAGGTGGACATTGTTTCTGAGTATGGCACAGAAAGATAACAGAAGCCTGGGTCCTTGATAACTAGTGAGTCAGCCATTGCCAAATTTCCTTTGTATTGGAAAGAAACAAGTTTCTATCTTACGCTTTCATTTTAGATTTTATGTTAACTCTGATTACAAAACCCTTTAGTCTATCTGGGGGCTTAATCAACCTTTTATCTGCATGACAATTTTCAAATGCATGTGTATGCTGTCTATTTCATTTTATGATCACATTGGCCCTTTGCTTTCGCTAAGAAAGGTTATTGGATGCGAAGGCTCTTCATCACAGAGTCAGTTCCAAATCCTGTTCCTCCTACTGTCATGAGAAGCTTTCCTTGCCAATTTCTTGGTCTCATAGTGAGCCAATCTATAGCATCTTTGATATTGCACATTGCTATATGAATAGGTGATCAGAAGGGAAAGGGCCAGACCTGAACTTGATCTGCTCCCTGGGGTAAGACAGGAGCTTGGTGACAAAGAAATGCTGATCTAAGGCACCCATAGGTTCTTCTGTGATACATGCAAAACTGTACGAGGACTCCACAAGGAAATAGTGTTCAGAGGCACAGGAAGGCTCAGGAGCAGCTGTCAGTCATCAATTTTTATGCTCTGCTATTCACCTGTCACTCACGGGTAGTCACCAGGCACCTCTGAGATCAGTTAGGGTAGCATGAAGCAAGACAGAGCAGACTGAGATGTGGTGAGCAGAGAGCTCTTTGGCTCAGGAACCCACATGAGTATCGGCTCTCCTAGACAGAGGGGCAGCCAGGTAAGCTTGAGAACTCAGGTGATAGCCCCAGACTCCCACACCTGAGCCAGGAACCACGGCACAGAATTGAGGGGGAAAGCTAAGACTTTCTAAATACCGCTTGACTTCAGGCCTCCTTTGGGCTCTCACACGGTGTTGCCATTTTAGGAGGCAGGATGGGAAGCGAGCTGCCCTTGACCGGGGAAAGGTGTTGGAACACACTGAAAGCCAAGTTGCCTTCCTGCAGATGGCTGCTTATTTATATGCCAAGAAGAAGCTCCACACAGTTTAAAAGTAATAACTTCAGGTTTCCTAAGGTAAATAATCATTCAGAAAAGCCACAACTCTGTATGAAATCAAAAACATCCCTGAAAGCACTGTCAACATCTGGAGTTTTCAAATAATAAAATTCATCCTTCTCATCCAAGTTTTACATCATCTCACTATTAGGGACAGTGGCTTCCTGGATGACTGTTAATGATGGTTGTCTTTATTATATTTTAGACCATTTAGCAAAGTTTATTGATTTATACTTCCTTGTAATTAGTTGTAGTGATTAAAATAGCTTTTATAGTCCTCTAGAGATTGACTTTTAAAAGAATCAACATTTCCCCCAAATTACGTGCTTTAAAACATGGTTAAATACTGTTTGCATTCAGCACTGAACCATCAGTGGTGAAACTGTGATTTTATATGTAGTTGCTTTCTCATCCCTCTACTTACATGGTGCCATCAGCCAATTACTTGGCAGCCAATAATAATAACAGCAGCCAACTTTCACTGAGTGTTTACAGGAAACTGAATGTTGTGCTAAATGTCTTACTGCATTATTTCATTTAATCCTCTCAACAATGCTAGGAAGTAGGGACTATTTAACTGAAAATTGCAAGAGTTAAGCTACTCAGCTGGTAAATGGCAAAGCAGAAATCTGAACCTAGGGCTGTTGTCACTTCAGATTTTCTGCTTATAACCACTCACATCCACTGCTGACTGCCCAGTTGACCAGGGAGAACCATCTAAACTTAGATGAGTTGGAAGTCCCAAGCTGATTTGAAGGGTGCTAGACTAGCCTGCAAAGAAAAATATCTTCCCAAACCAACCTCACTTGAAACTGAAATTCCACTATTAGCATAATTCTTTTTGTTAGGTAGGAAGTCAGATATGAGCTTATGTGTGTGTGACAAAGGCCTAAGGAGACATCTATGTCCAGCATATGCATCTCAAAGTCATCCGGATAACCTTTCAGGAGCAGCCCAGTATTTGCATCCTGCCCTGCCCCTTCTATCCAATAACCTGCCAAGTGGGGGTCCCTGCCCCTTCTGCCTGATAATCTTC